TCCCATGTCACTTTGTTTAAATCCAAGCTAAGCTACCCGATTCCCTGACAATATTTTGCTGACATCATACGACAAACAGGAATTTTTAGACCTGGAATATTAAAAATAATCATCAGTGCCACATGAGATAAATAACTTACTGATCAATACTTAAAAATAAGTTCAATTATGTTATTTAAAAGATGTGTTTTATACTTGGCAGTAAACATCTATAATTTTTTAATGCCCAGTTATCTTTAGATAGAACTAGTGTTTTTTTTTTATTGTTTTCCTTTTTCTTCATGTACCCACATGTTATTATTAAAATGAGGACACAGAGTCTAAAGTGTTCAAAATGCTACCTTTGCATCAAGTCTGGGTACATTTCAAGCTTCATGTGAAAGCCAATGCTGAGAGCTAAGATAAAACTACTGGAAAGAATGAGTAATGCCCCCAAATTTGGCACACTTCTAACCAGAGCTTGTTGGATGATGATACTGCATAAAAAAGAACAAAAACAACAACTCACAACCCAGGTAAAAACATTTTCTGTTGTTTTGTTTTGTATTTATATCTCATTTAAATATGGGAAAGAAATTTTTATTTTATTTATTTGTTTGACAGAGAGAGGGGTCACAAGTAGGCAGAGAGGTAGGCAGAGAGAGAGGGGGAAGCAGGCTCCCCACTGAGCAGAGAGCCCAATGCGGGGTTGGATCCCAGGATCCTGAGATCATGACCTGAGCTGAAGGCAGAGGCTTAACCACTGAGCCACCCAGGTGCTCCGAAATCCTTTTTTACCTAAAAAACAAACTTACTAAAAAGCAACAAAACCCTTAGCCAGAGTTTCGACTAAAATTATGAAACTTTTTTTTTCCCCCAAAAGGCAAAGCATTAAATGGCAAGGTAAAAATAAATCTCTGTGCTAGCCAGTAAAAATTCCATGGATTTGTGCCTTTCAAAGTGAGTCACAAGTCTAATGGCAGGTACATTCAGTTCAGTGATGGAACAGAACAGACGGTGTTAATCTCACCTGCTGTCTTCAAACACTTCTCTACCTCTGGCCCAAACTCTGTCCTGCTACACACCCACAGTCCCAACCACATTTACCAGTGTGATCCGCCCTCCTCTCTTGGCATTGCTGTCTCCACCTACTGCTTAAGGTAAAGTCTGGGACAGCATGTCTGCATGAGAAAAAGGCACAGTGGAATCATAGAATCTCAACATTATTAATCCTTGCCAAACACTGCATTTTGATAGACAAGGAAACTGAAGCACCACTAGGCTTTAAATCTTGCTCGGAATTATCATACATTGATTAAGCTTCAGAGCTAGAACTTGTCAGGTATTCTTCTCTGAAACTATTGGAAGACACTTCTCCATACATCTTTCACATTCCTGGACATTTTGCAAACAGAGGCACAGACAATCTTTGTCCTGAACTATCTTTTCAAGGATATTTATATAACAGATATCCTTGAAAAGTAGAGATGGCGTCTCGCTCTGGAGCAAAGAGAAGGTTTTGTCTAGTATAACAAAAATAATGTCTCTCTCTGGGGCAAAGGGCAGGCATGCTCACTTTCCATTATAAAACATCCTAACTCCCTAACTCAGAGCTCCTCCACTGAAACGCAAAGCACTAAGTATACAAGTGTCACCTCGCCTGCTTCGCGTCACCCTGTGGGAACTGGGATTCAGTGAACCGGTACAAATGCTAGTAGTCTGCCTACTGCTGTTGCTGTAAATAATAGAGTTGTTTGTCTCTGACCCGGGAGTCTCATGTCTTCTGCCCATGCCCTGGGAAAAACAGTGGCAGGCAGACTTGTGAGCTTGGGAATAGGGTGAAATCTCAAATCCTTCATAGGTTTTTTTTTTTTTTTTTTTAATTTTTTTTTTAAGATTTTATTTATTTGACAGAGATCACAAGTAGGCAGGGAGGCAGGCAGAGAGAGGAGGAAGCAGGCACCCTGCTGAGCAGAGAGCACAATGCGGGGCTCGATCCCAGAACCCTGGAATCATGACCTGGGCCGAAGGCAGAGGCTTTAACCCACTGAGCCACCCAGGTGCCCCAAATCCTTCATAGGTTTTGCCTGAAACATAAAATCATAGTGATAATCAATCATATGAAGAGAAAAAATATTAAATACTGTGAGGCCTGTTGCTTCATTTTTTGAATCTAGGATGATCCATTTACTTGTTGAAGCACGATGTGTTAGATATAATATATAATATGTTTTACTCTTTAAATCCAATCACACACACACACACAAATGATCTACTATGTTTTTAAAATTAAACTTATGAAATGGGTTTCCTTAGCCTCACTTTATAGATTAAAAATGCAAACAGAAAAACCAACCACCTCTGAATCACAGAGTTAATACATAGCAGAGGTAAATCACTGGTTTCAAAAATTTGGATCTTGTCTACCTCCAAATGAAATGCAGCCTAAATTGGCACAGGCCATTTTGGCTTAAAATAAAATGGCTCAATTATAAAGTAGTTTGCTTGGTTTTACTATCTTACCTCTTTAATAGTAGTATATATTTAGGTACTAACATGTTGCTATCTAATCTGTATTCAATATTCAATATTCATTAGTCACAACAAATAGGATGTTTCTAATACTGTGAATACTGAGTTTATATCACATAGTCCATATTTGTAGCAACATCTACAGGAAAATACTCTATACAAAGCTTATCAGAAATAATGCTGGGGCCTTATATGCTGTCCTCTAAAGGTAAACATAGAAGAAAATTATCTTTGATAATATTTAGATAACATGATAGGAGAAATAATTTTATTTAAAAGCTTATATATTCCATTAAATTATCCTGTTAGTCACAGAGCTAAATAGAAAATAGAAAATAGCTAAATAGAAAATTAAAACACTAGACAGAGTGGAGAAGGACTACATTATGTTCTAGAACCTATAGATGTTCTTGAGGAAAAAATAATATTTAAAGCCAAAGAAGACAGTTAAAAGTTTCTTAATGGCAGAGAAGCAAAATATAAAATATGAACTTATGTCAGAGTTGTTTGGGGAATTTTTTTAAAGTGGTAACCCATTTCTGGGTATAAATGAGCTTTTATTCCTGTAATTCTACATGTTCTCCTAAGTCCAAAGCTAAAGATTTTTTTTTAAGATTTTATTTATTTATTTGACAAAGAGAGACACAGCAAGAGAGAGAGCACAAGCAGGGGGAGTGGGAGAAGGAGAAGCAGGCTTCCCGCTGAGCAGGGAGCCAGAATATAGGGCTCCATCCCAGGACCCTGGGATCATGACCTGAGCAGACATTTAACTGGCTGAGCCACGCAGGGACTCCAGAAACTTAATGTTTTGAATCAATCATTTTGAAATGTAAGTAGCAACAAAGAAAAACATACTTTAAAAATATGCAGGTTCTGTTCAAATGGAAACAAAATTTTTCCTTCAAATTACCTAAAATAAAGAATCCCTAGATACTAATAATATATTAATGGAAATAATTATTTTACTTGCATCTCACAAAAACATTTTTTTATATAAAATGATAAAAACTACCCAGCTGGAAGTTTACAGAAACAAATGAAACAAAACTTAGAGATTATGGAGTCAGTTACAATTGCCATAGAAAAACAATAACTATAAAAAGTTTTTGTTTTTATAAAAACAAATATTTTTTATTTTTATTTATTTTTTTTTAAAGATTTTATTTATTTATTTGACAGAGAGAGAGAGAGAGATCACAAGTAGGCAGAGAGGCAGGCAGAGAGAGGAGGAAGCAGGCTCCCTGCTGAGCAGAGAGCCCGATGCGGGCCTCGATCCCAGGACCCTAAGATCATGACCTGAGCCGAAGGCAGAGGCTTTAACCCACTGAGCCACCCAGGCGCCCCAAAACAAATATTTTTTATTTTTAGATGACTACCTTAAATTTAAAGTTGAGTTGTTGAATCATTTTCATTTTATTTTAATCCTTGAGAAATGATAGTAGAAGACTGTAGTCTTTACGACGGGATACACCAATGTGCTGTATGTTTTGTGTGGAAGCAGAAACTCCACGGAAAACCCCATGGGATATGAGGTTTCTGATCCCACTAGGACACAAATTAAATTTTTAAAAATAGAATTGAAGCTCTGCATATCTAAACTGTAATTATATAGTGAAATACTTTCTAGGGGCATAAGCTATTTAACATTAAATGGATTTTTTTTTTAAAGATTTTTATTTATTTATTTGACAGACAGAGATCACAAGCAGGCAGAGAGGCAGGCAGAGAGAGAGGAGGGAAGCAGGCTCCCCGCTGAGCAGAGAGCCCAACGTGGGGCTCGATCCCAGGACCCTGAGATCATGACCCGAGCCGAAGGCAGAGGCTTTAACCCACTGAGCCACCCAGGCGCCCCGGCATTAAATGGATTTTAAACAAGAAATCTGAGGAACCCTTTCACACATGGGTTTTAAAGTAAGCTATAATTTGATCTATGAAGACTCACAGGCCATCTGATATTTTTTTTTCCCCACCTTGGGAACCTATGAAAAAATGAGATGGTAATTTTTGTCCCAAATTTCTAATGTTGTCAAGACCTGGAATTTACTCATTCTGTATCCTGTCGGAAACACACGAATTGAGGGAATTTCAAAAAGCAGAAACAAATTTCTTAAGATAAGAATTACTTAATCATGATGAAATAATTTTTAAAACCTTGTTTTATATAATTAAGAAGTATTTCAATAATTACAATAATTGCTTTTAAAATAAAACAGCAATTATTTTCAAGACAAACACATGGGAAGAAAGGAATATTTACCTAGAAAGTTAGAAGGCAAAACTAAAAGAAAGAATATCAAAGTTAACATTCGTATTCCTTTTTATCAGGATCTCCCCATGGGCAGAACCTTGTGGATTCTGGAAGATTTGTGATAGTGGAATGATAGACAAAGGAGCTAAATATGAGAATCTAAGATCTCATTATTCAGTATCTGCTGAAGGAGCCTACATATCTCACATGTTTATGCATAAGGACGCAAACTAGAGATTACCTGGAAATCTTCTAATTATTTGGCATAATCCTTCTTTTCTGCAAAGCTGATGCTGTATATCTGGTAATATGTTTACCTGAAAGGAATGAAAAGATTCTAGTGAGTTGGGCATTCATAAAAGCTAAAGCAAAGGAAATGCAAAAACCCACAGGGTAGGGTTGTGAACTCTCCTCTACCTTTCTACACCCTACCTTCAAATCTCTGCAAGTCAACATTCAAATCCAGAATAATAAAGTGTTTTTTTTTGATAATATAAAACAAAAACTCGCCCTCAGAAAATTTTAAAATATTTGGGAATACTTCTGAAAACCTTGATATATTTCACAGCCATGATATGTGCTAAAACTCATAAAAAATACTTCTGTCCTTATGGCAAATACAGTAACACAAATAACATGACAGTTGCCAATTATGCTTTGGCAGAAAATAGCACTAAACATACCCCAAAACCAACGAAACTCTGAAGTTCCGAAGGCCCTCAGTGATTTGAATCACAGACATTTAGTGGAAATTCAGTGCTATGCGTGTTTCAAACTTTAATATAAAAACTTTACTTCACATTGAAGGGCATTATTGCTTCTGGCTATAAAGTCCAGTCACTGTGAAAGTGTCTTCTAACAAAAATTTGTTCTCAGAAAGCTTCACAGACATTATCATAAATTCAAATATATATTTTACCTTATAAAGAAAAGACACCAAAGCTAAATTTTCTTCTTCATTTCTGAATTTACAGACTGATTATCTAGCTATTATCAACCAAATTCCAAAAGAATGTCCCAAAGCCTTGTTAAAACTAACAGAAAGAGATCAAGGTGATTTAGCTTAAAAATCAGATTCACTTCTGAGAAATTATTGATTACTTTCAAATTAACTCCCTCTAAACTTACCAAGTATGGTAGTTTCTCCACTGTGTCCTCCTCACGAGGCTATTTAAAAAGAGCTCAGTGGTGCCTGGGTGGTTCAGTTGGTTAAAAACAGCCTTTGACCCAGGTCATGATCAACAGCAGGGAGTCTGCTTCTCACTCTGGCCCTGTCTGCGCCTCCACCCCCCACCCCCCCCACCACAGCTCATGCTCTCTCTCTCATTCTCTCTCTCTCTCAAATAAATAAATTAATAAAATCTCTTTAAAAAAGAAAAAAAAAGAGCTCAGCTGCTGTTGAAAAGAGAGAACCAGAAACACTGGTTTTAGGCCCACTTTCAACATTTAACAAAATCATACTTGAGCACATCACTTTGTTTTGTCTCTTAAAGCTTTTGGTCTCTGAATTCCGCTGCCTCACTAAGGTGTTTTTGTTGTTGTTGTTGTTGTTGTTGTTTTAGATTTTATTTATTTGACAGACAGAGATCACAAGTAGGCGGAGAGGCAGGCAGAGAGAGAGGAGGAAGCAGACTCCCCGCTGAGCAGAGAGCCCGATGTGGGGCTGGATCCCAGGATCCTGGGATCATGACCTGAGCTGAAGGCAGAGGCTTTAACCCACTGAGCCACCCACGCGCCCCCTCACTAAGGTTTTGATCAATTTGGTAATTCAATCATCAGTCGTAGTTTTTTACAAAATGATTCACTTTAGAGTGCTCTGAAACAGTGCATTGATTAAACATTTGCTAACCCTTGCCATCTTGTTAACTCTATTCGTTTAGTCAGCAAACAGCAAACTTCAGCCACCCTGTGTATGAATGAAGTGGGGCTTCCACTGAACCTTTTCCTGTGAGTCTGTGTGAGCAACCTTGTTAACTACCCAAGTTTGAGAGTCTCCAAAGATACCAGGGTCACTTACATTCTTCCTGCACTGGGAGTGCAAAGGCTGTAAGTACGGAACACTGTAGATGTTAGGGAAGTCTACATTTCTCAAATTCAAAAATGAGAAAGTTCAGAGACTAAAAGTAGAAAACAAAGAATAGTTTTCAGAAAATACTTAAGTTTATAATTCAGACTTCCTAAGAAAGGCTGGAAGAAAGAGATAGAATGCTGCAAAAATATGGAGAAAGTACAATAAAAGTTTTTCTTTTTTAAAAGATAATACACAAAGAACCTTTCTAAATTACATAGGCAAAAACTTTAAAAGTCAATAAACCTGAACAATTTCCCCCCACATCAGCCAAATCAGTTGCTAATGACTACATAGAAACGTTCATAGAAGGACCCAGAAAGTAGCATATTAGGTAAGTATCACTTAAGGCTATGTGTTTAATAGGGTCCAGTTTAAGACTTTCTCCCTCTTTCTCAAGAGCTCAGGGCAAAGGTGCTGCTACAGCAGGTGCTAAGAGCATCTGTGATGTGCTGTCCCATCCTACACAAACTGGAAGGAGTACAAGAGTCCTGGTCAAAGGAATGCACATAACTGAACTAACGGGACAGAAGACTTTGTATAGATGCTGCAAAGACAGCACAGCTTGTACAGATTTCAGACAGAAGTGTAGGTCTCTGTGTCTCATCAAAGAGGCAGCTTTCTGCGTGAGACCTGAGGTAGAAGAATAAACTGACTCAGGATCAACAAAGTATTTGCTTCAAGAAAGCAGAGCCAAGGGGCACCTGGGTGGGTTAAGTCTCTGCCTTTGGTTCAGGTCATGATCCCAGGGTCCTGGGATCAAGCCCTCCATAGGGCGCTCTGCTCAGCAGGGAGCCTGCTTCCCCCCAGGCCCCTCTCTCTCTGCTGCCTCTCTGCCTACTTGTGATCTCTGTCTGTCAAATAAATAAATAAAATCTTAAAAAGAAAAAAAGAAAAGAAAAAAGAAAGCAGAGCCAAGCCAAGGGAAGCAACTGCCCCCAGGCTTCTGCCTTCCATGTTTCCATCTCCCACTCAATGACCTCTTTCCCGTGTTCCTTTCTCCAAAGCACATCTTTGGAATTCACAGAATCTTGACAGATGACATAACCCAAGGTGACACGTGACACCAGAAATAACATTTCTATTCTACTATGTAACAGAGCACCAAACTAAGCAGCTAAACCGAGTAACTTGGCACAAAGAAATATATTCAAGGGCTATGGGTCATCTGGCTATAAGCAAATCAACAATATTACACGTATTTTCCATGTATTTTCATCGTTAAACCCAATAATGCTCTTCTATATCCTTGTGCTTGTTTTTTTACTTTTATATTTATGCACATCATAAAATATATAAGATTTGCATCATTACTGAAAGGAACATCAAAGAGGTTTTAACTCGGATAGCTGACTTTTATACAACAAGCTTCTCCAGCTCAACATTGCAACATTAACATTATTTTTAATAGGCTTTATTACTTTCAGGTAGTTTTAAGGTTCACAGCAAAATTCAGCAAAAGGTACAGAGATTTCCCATCTACCCACTGCCTCTACACATGCACAGCCTCCTCTATAAACAACCACCCACCAGAGTGTACCTTTGTTACACTTAAGGAATCTACACTGACACATCAGTATCACCCAAATAATTATTTTCAATATATAAGGCTTTTGTGTTGGGCTTGAGTGCTTTCCATACACATCTACATATGTGTATGTTTCATATAAGCTGCTGTTCTTGGCATAGAACCTTTCATATCTTTGAAAGGATCAGAATGTGTAAGGAAAATGATAATGATATTTGAGTTCTGGGATATTGCTGAGATCAAACTGACAGAAAGGAAATGTACATTTAGAAAGATTTCAATCCCCACATGCCTTCCACAATCCTAATCTGTGAGTAATCTACATTTAAATTGTTCCTGTTACATATTATCAGAAGCAAAAGTAAAAAAAATCATTCTTATTTGGAGACATAGTTCATTCATAAAAACAACCACCTATCAGTTATCAACATTTAGAAAGTGCTTATAAACTAAAACTGAAACTACAGTAATACCATGAACTCGTTAAGGAGAGTAGACATTTGAATATGGACTATTTGTAAAGTGTAAGAAAGCACTGCGTGGGGGGGGGGGCTGCTGGGAAGGCTCACTCAAGAATACTGAGAGTGACACACATTTCACACTGTATCTTAAGGGACTGCTCCTCGTCTTCATTAGATTGGTTCACAGTTCTATTGATTATTTTATCAAAATTCAGATGTTCTCCAAAAGCTGTTCAGTATCATCCCCAAGGAAGAGAACGAACGACAAGAAGGGTCGTTATCTCCTTGTCTCTCCCATGCAATTATCATTCCATCAAATTCACCTGAAATTGTGCTCAAATGCTTTATACTAAGAGACATTTCAGTAGTTCTCAGTGCTCCAAGGACTAAAAACGGCATCCTGGGTTTAGGGACTGCTAATCCTACAAACATTTAGAGCTAGAAATGAATCCCTCTGTTCTTGAAACATTAGAACCTTTCTGTTAAAGGTGAAATACAGCCCCAGTTACTAAACTTAGTGTTACCCCAAATAGTGGACCTCACTTCACTTTCAGCATCATGGGGATCCACACAGTTTTAAAATCATGTTCCTCTCCTTCTGACTAGAGAGACTCTGGGACACTCATTTTTCATAACAGATCTTCTGATCGCCTTCATTAAGCTCTTAAATTCCAAAGCTCTTGATGTGATGAATAATCCTAATTTGAGCAGGGGCTCTTCCTTTGTTCGTCTAAGAATCCCCAATGAACCTGAAGCAGCTTCTGTTCTGAATATTTATGTTGACATAAATAAGTCATGGTTCCTAAAGTTTCAAATTATTCATGCTCTAAAGTGACAGTTGTCTAATTGGTATCATTTAGAACGTTTGAATTCTTTAAGAGTATTTATTAGCCAAGGCTGTAAATGCAAGTCCTAAATATTTTTAAAAAATTGTACGGTGATGTGGCCATGAAAACAAAATTCAAAGTCAAACTGCCCGAGTTTGAATTTTCTGGTTGCTTTATTTATTAGCTATGAGGGCGTAGGCAAGTCTCTTAATTTTTCTGTGCTTCGATCTCTTCATATGTAAAGAATGGACATAAACATGTGAGCACTTAGAATGACGCGTGGCACTGATAGGAGGCCTCCCCTTCTAGGTACTCTTCTTTAGACGGAGGGTAGTAAAATCTTACAAGTACTCTGGTCCCTGGGGCCTCTAATCATTTTTTCCCCCTTATCTTTTTTTTATTAGATTCTCTCTAATCTTGTTTCTCTTCTTTTATCAAAACCTCAGTCAATAGCTCCTTCATTAGTTTCTCTTCAGTTGAATCCTTTCAAGTATGGCATTTGTCTCCTGCTTGGAGGTTGACAGATACTCACAGGCAAGACTGTAGACTTTATTCTATAGCTGATGTGAAGCCATTCAAGATGGAAGGGCAGGAAGAACCAGGTTCGTTCAGCATTTTATTTTTCATCCTGATAACCGTAGGCAGGATGGATTTTAGGAGCAAGACATATTTGCTTCAGAAAAAAGCAGTAAGGAGGATTTTACAATAAACCTGGTCAGAATAAAAGTAGTGAATATGGATATTTGAGAAATAAGAGACTTGAGAAGTATTTAGGAGTTGAATTCCTTAGTCCTGGTAATTGACAGAATGCAGAGGACAAAGAAGAAGAAGGGATCAAAGGGGAAGGCCAGATTTCTGCCTTAGGAAATGACAGGACACTGATGACCAATAGAACAGTAGTCCTGCCGAGCCACTGAATGAAAGAGTAGGAGTGATGTCCCACGGAGCATATGAGCTCGTTTTCCTCGTGTTGAGTCTGAGGTGTCTGTGTGATATGAAAGTGATGATTAACAGGCAGTTATTCATATGATCCTGAAGCCTGGGAAAATGCTTGAATTTTAGATGTTACTTTTGGGAACTATCAACCACCTTGGGAATGGTGTTGAGGAGCACAGGCATGTAAAGTATGAGCAGAGGAAAGGAGGCTATGAAAACAGAGAAGGAAAGGCCAACGATTTATAAGAAGGAAAAAAAAAATCATGTACTCAGCCCAAAGGCCACAGGAGTCAAGAGTTACAAGGAGGAAGAAGATATCAAGATTGTCAATTGCAGAAATATCAAATAATCAGGATAGCTACTATAATACTATTTCACCACTGAGAAACACATACTAGTTTTGATGCTTTTCTCACATTTGAAAAATACCATGGACCAAGAAGTGGTGGTGTTAATATCCAAAGGGCTGTTAAAATCTGTAAACATTTTGAAAAGAATATTTACCTTTTGATGTAAACCTAAATGGCATACGTCTTCTTTGGATATGCAAGGTTTTCCACCAGCTTTCCTAGAAGACAGGCAAATGAGCAGATCCCATGCGCCCAAATCACCTAATAGCAGAAGAATATTGAAAAACAAATGATTTTTTATCAGATTGAAGACACTGTTTTTAGATTTAAGAATGTTATTATTTAAATCCTAAAACACAAGAAAAATGATTCTGAATATATTTAAAAGTTAATATTTGAAGTAACTGAAATTTTTAACTTTTCTAATTTAGAAACATTTTTATAGTTAGGATCATATCAGGGAAAATTCACTTATGTAAAGCAAGTCATGAAACTCCTTTAAAAAACTAAAAACTAAAGGTTTTAAGTCACATATTTTATAAATTTACAAAGTCTTATTTGGAGATTGGGAGGAAAAATGATTAGAGAGTCTTTTAAAATAGGGGGTGATTGCAAAATCAAATAATGAAAAGTCAAAACACCAAATATTTTGTCCTAGGCTTTAGTATCACCATCACTTTTCACAAATCTTAAAAAAATACACTTTTATAAGATTTCTTACAAAGACTAAGTTGTGGTCAGCAGAAAATAAAATTCTGTGAAAATTAAAAAACAAAACAGAACAGGTTTTATCTAAAAGGAATTTGTGGTCTAATTAGAGATAGCAGAGTTAAGCTCAAAATACAGAGTATAACATGGACCAAAATAAATCATATTTCAGCTATCTACCAAGGACAAAGCTCTTTGCCAATAAATCCTAGTAACTTGCCAAAATAATCTCAGAAGAGTACATTCTTGCATAGTACTTGAACATTCAGAAATTAACATTTGTGTATTATGAGTTTATTTTCCCTTACCCTCTTTGATTTATTTATATGTTTTTATCAACACGTCTTACACATAATTGGTGCTTTAAACATATTTTTTAAATGAGGGGGGCCTGGATGGCTTAGTCGGTTAAGCATTTGCCTTCAGCTTAGGTCATGATCTCAGGGTACTGGGATCAGCATCGGGGCTCCCTGCTCAGCAGGGAGTCCACTTTTCTCTCTGCATCTGCCTGTCCCTACCCACCCTCCACCCAGGTGTTCATGCGTGCTCTCTCTCTCAAATAAATAAATAAAATCTTAAAAAAAATTGTTAAATGAATGAATAACTAGCCCGTGATATGGTGTTAAACATGTTACTTTAGAGACAATATAGAAATAGGTAACTCAAAAATAACCAAAAGAAGAACACTAAATAATGTATAAAAGGGTTTATATTACTTGGGAAACTTCTCCATTTGAGGTAGAAATTGTGGTATATATACACAATGGAATACTATGCAGCCATCAAAAGAAATGAAATCATGCCATTTGCGACGACGTGGATGGAACTAGAGGGTATCATGCTTAGCGAAATAAGTCAATCGGAGAGAGACAACTATCATATGATCTCCCTGATATGAGGGAGAGGAGATGCAACATGGGGGGTTAAGGGGGTAGGAGAAGAGTAAATGAAACAAGATGGGATTGGGAGGGAGACAAACCATAAGTGACTCTTAATCTCACAAAACAAACTGAGGGTTAATGGGGGGAGGGGGGTTGGGGGGTGGGATTATGGACATTGGGGAGGGTATGTGCTATGATGAGTGCTGTGAAGTGTGTAAACCTGGCGATTCACAGACCTGTACCCCTGGGGATAAAAATATATTATATGTTTATAAAAAATAAAATTTAATAAAAAAAATTAAAAAAAAAATTAAAAAATTAAGCAATTTCTGTACACATGTTCTGTTTTGTTGGTCAGTCCTGAGATAATATTCCTTCGGTAACACTTTATGCTGGAACTCACAAGTCGTCTCTTGCGTTAGGTATCCATGGTTTCTAAAAAGCTAGAAAATAACCAAATCCTGTCTTTTAAAAATTTCACAGAAGAATGTCTCACTTGAACACATAATGCTTTCAAAGAAGGGCTTTATAGAAAAAAAAACAAAAAAAGATTGATAAGGAAGAGGGACCTATGACCATCGGGAATGACATTTCACTCTGCACTAATCAAGTCCTTTACCTTTTGACAAGCTCTATGCTCTCTGGGCCACTGGATCCTCTGTTTGTAATTGTTCTGTTTCTAGAAGAGAAACCTCTCCACCAAACAAAGGGATCCAGACCACTGAACTCAAGTTAACATGTGAGCCCTTGCCCTCGAGCTTCTCCATTTGCTTGATTTATCTCAAGATGCTGGAATATAGCACAATAGTTCACAGGGACATGGAGAAAAGATGCACGTGATTGAGGGGTGGGAGAAATCTCTCTATTTAATAGCCATCGACCTCTGAATTGGAAGATCTATGCTGTTCCCTGCATCCTCACTTTGAAGGAAACTCCAAATGGATTCCTAGAGCCAAAAAAACACTCCATGATGATCCCACTACTTTATTGAAAACGTGCACCTGGCACTTTTAGCCAAAACCTTTTGATATGGACTTAAAAGGGAAAAAAAAGATGGTTTCATTCAATATTATTTCTAGCCCAAGAAACACTAAACTAAAACACTAAAACTCTAGAAGAAGCCTCCTGACATAATATACTCAACCCAATATGTTAAGAAGACAAGGCTATGCAACGAGAGGATTTCAAATCATGAACTGTATTGTTTGGGCATTAAAAACACAGTAGGTTTTATATTCCTCCACGTCTGACACATGCCCTCCTTCACTACCCAAGGCGTACACACAATTTCTCAATTTGATTACAATATATATATTTAAGCCATAAATGTTTAAAACTGGAAAATATGTTTAAATAATTCAGAACATTTAATTTGTAAAGAACCTCCTACGAGCAGGACATTGTACTGGAATTATGAGTGTAAACAGCAAAAAATAACAAAAAAAGGAAAAGTATGGTCACTGCCCTGAACCATCTATGAGAGACCTAAATGAACATTAAAAACAATTTAGGATAACTAATAAAGTGCCATGCAGTTTCTTGACATTCATAAGGGTTACCCCTTACCTCTCAAAACTATTTAACAAATATTTTAAATTTAAAATTAATATTTCAAAAACACTTTATAGCACATACATTTAACCTTAAAATGAAAGTAGAGTATAGCCCAAAATTTCAAGTAATCTCTTCAGATACTTCTTGTCTAATTCTTGCCACCACAGTCTGAAAAATACTGATTGTCATCACTCAAAATTCCTATTGTTACCCTCACTGAGTCCTACCACAAATTTCTAAATCTGCTTCCTACTTAAATATTCAGTTTAATGGAAATTTATGTTAGATAAACACCTTCAAGCTTATAATTTGATGCATGTTTCAATGTATTATTTCAGTCTTAGTAATAATGACAAAAATAAACTTTAAAAACTACCAAAAAAAATAAATATTGAGTAGACCTTTTCATTTCCATCTCCAACCTTAAAAGTTAAGTCCCTCCCTGAGGCCCACAGCCCCTTTTTAAAGAAAAAGCTTTATTTGTCTTGTGAGAGGCACCACGTATTCAAACTTGGTTTTAAAAACCCCAAAAGCCACACTGTAGTTAGAAAACCAGCAGAGAAAAAAGCACATTCACTAGCTGAGAAAAATCACATTCAGAAGTCAACGTTGGAGCGTTTGGGAAACAAACGTGTGCCTTAGCAAAATTACGAATTGGTAAATATTGTGGGGGCTTTGGGGCTGTAATCAACTATCTGAAAGTAGGAGCAGTTAGTAAGCAAATGCCCCCGGGGGTACAGCAGAGATGCAGACCAAGGGCACATAGGGACGGTCCAGCCTGCATGTAGGATGCTTGTGGCTTGCATGATTACTATTTTTGTTTTTGTTTTCAATTTTAAGTATTTGCCAAAATGTGGATGTCAGCACAATTCACCTGAAAATCCAGATCTCTGCCTTCATTTGGAAATCTGAAGGCTGTGGTCCTCTGGGGCCCATTTCCTACAAGGCAGAGGGCAGCCACTGACAGGAGCTGAGTACAGCTTCCCCCATTTTCTCCTGCTTCTGCCATGTGGCCCGGCCTGGGCCCCAAAATGCCTGGCTCTGCCTCCAGGAGGCCAACAGTCCAAGGCCTGGTGTGAAAACTGTGAGTCAGTTTGTGAGAGCTGCTCATTCAGCAAGATGATGATTCACCCTTTAGCTTTCAAATGAATTAGAGCTGGTCATTAGGTAAATTGGTCTCGTTAAGATGACTGTAGTAGGCAAATCGATATTTGGTCAGTCTTAAAAGGATGTCCGAACACACCCTTTCATCTCCAGTTTGGCCACCATGCTCTCCCACAAGATTGAGTAAGGTCCTTTCAACTCCAGAGACATTCTACCACCTGTTAAAAGTTGGTAAGGACTGAAGTGTGGTCTCTTAAATTAGTTCTTTCTCTCAGGAGCCTGGGAAAATCAGGCCAGGCCTCTGGGCATTTTTTTCACTGATGCCTCTTCTCTCCAGTTGGACCGGTAGAGAGAATGAGGTATCATTCCTAGGTGGGCCTGCTCTCATCTCTTTCTCATCCACAGTTTCTTTGGGGACTCTTTTACGACATTCAGCCTGTCTCAGGACTGTCTCCATAGTTCTATGTAGCCTATGATAGACTTTTTTCTTTTTTTTTTTTTTAAGATTTTATTTATTTGTATATTTGTCAGAGAGAGAGAGAGAGAGAGAGAGAGAGAGAGAGAGAGAGCACAAGCAGGCAGAGGAAGAGAGAGAAGCAGAATCCCCCTGAGCAAGGAGCCCGATGTGGGACTCGATCCCAGGACCCTGGGATCATGACCTGAGCCAAAGGCAGAAGCTTAACCCACTGAGCCACCCAGGCGTCCCTAGGCTTTTTTCTTTTATAGGCAGTGGGGCAAACATTTTTTTTTTTAAGATTTTATTTATTTATTTGACAGAGATCACAAGTAGGCAGAGAGGCAGGCAGAGAGAGAGGTGGGGGGAAGCAGGCTCCCCACTGAGCAGAGAGCCCAAAATGGGGCTCGATCCCAGGATCCTGGGATCATGACCTGAGCTGAAGGTAGAGGCTTAACCCACTGAGCCACCCAGGGGCCCCTGGGGCAAACATTCTTTATGTTGGTCTTACTCAATGTGTTTCTTCTGCCCTGGAAAGTTGACATTAATATTAGAGTGTA